ATGACACATTATATATTCCCCTTTACATTAATACATCCACATGCATTGTAGCTTAAGATCATCTTATTGGAATGTACGGTTCCATGCATTTGCATTGTTCCTAACCCATTGCATGTGTGTCTAATTAATTCTAAAAGTTGCCATTTTTATTAGATACATGGTATGCATTATTACTCCTCCATTCTATGTACTCCTTCCTCCCATTATAATTATAATTATCTTTATTTTAGTGCTTATGATATTTTGTCAACACTTTTTTTAATTTATTTATTAAAATATTGATATAAAATTTATAATAAAACCAAGTATATATTTTAACACTTAAAAAAGAATTCTACAGGATAAGATGTGGCGTAACTATATTATCATATTAATAAATGAATAACAAAAAAATATGTGATGAAATTAATAATTTGATTCTAAATAGTGATTGAAAGTGAAGATAAATAATTTGATTCTATTAAAATATACTCCGTATTATAAAAAGTACTTCATGTTGAGTGCTACACCATTAAGTTCACATTTGACTCTTTTTAATCAAAGTTTTAAATATTTGATGTGACTATAATATAGATATAGAGATATATTTTATACTATCTCTGTCGTCCCAATTTATTCGCCTTGTTTGACTTTTTTGAGTCAAATTGAACAAACGTTGGACCTCAATGTGTACAATTTGATTCAGAAAAGTCTAATTAGATATACACAGTGGGACCGAGGTGCGTGTGTGTGTGTGTGTGTGTGTCTGTATGTATGTATGTATGTATGTATGTATGTATGTATGTATGCATGCATGCATGCATGCATGTATGTATGCATGTATGTATTTTGATGTTTTACACTGACACAAGTGTTGGTGCTTTAACAAAAATTTACATAAACACAAATGATTGGTGCATTAACAAAAATTAGTTTTATACCAATACAAAGCGTTAATGTAAACCTGCAGAATACAAAGTGGGATACAAAAATTTGGATACAAAACCAAACAATCTAAAAGTGGCAAAGTAGCCATTGTTTCCTTTTTTTTCCTCTGCCTTGTTAGTTTTACTTGTAACTTTTTATATACAAAAAATTATTGGATAACAATTGTACCACTCAACATATCTTATTGAGATCTTTCTAACAAGACCAATAATGCTTTTAAAATTTTAAATTTATTCTTATTTATCTTTTAAGTTATTTAATATAGTCTAAAATTCATTTTCTTTAATTTTATCTTTTGAAATAAAATTGTGCTAATTTACTTTCAAATCCAATACTATTGTACTTCCTCGTCTAAAAATTTATTTTCCGGTTTGATTTGGCACGAAGATTAAAAAATGTTAAAAGTGTAAAAAAAGTCTTCCATTTCCATATCTTCTCTCATCGAGCTTTGTGAGGATTACCACATGTATTTAAGGGCGTACATTTAAAATATTGGACCCATATCATAAATAAGCTCTCATAACGTGTATGTATGTATGTATGCATGTATGTATGTATGTGAATGTATATGTATATGTATATGTATATGTATATGTAGATGTATATGTATATGTACTGACTAATAATTAATTAACCAAACACATGAGACGTACGAATAACTCCACCCACAAATTGTCATTAATATTAATAATCCTCAATAGACAACAAACTAATCCCCAAAAAAATTCCTCATCAACAAATTTGAAATCAAGTCAAATCACTCTAGTTTTAGGAGGTCAAACAAACATGACTTATAACAACCTCGTTGGCAGCCTTTTACATATGCAATCGAAGAACAACACAAGTCAGTAATACATTTTGAAGTACATTCTTTCATCATTTCCATAAGCGAAACTTGTGGGGACGGAGCGACATCATCATCGACAACAATGTCCCACGGAGTGTCGCGTGCCTCGGCCGCGACGACCAACAATAGCATCAACATTGACAACATAAAACTCACATACAAAACATTTGAAGTAGTTGCCATTTCTAGCTAACCTCAACAAGATTATAAAGATATTAATAACCTAGCTTATTAGTGATGAATTATGAATAATATTTATTTGTGTATTGGCTATATGCTCTCACCTCAACAAGCTAATTGTCTATATATATATTGATGGCATATAGTCGGTTAGCTTAGTAAATTAAATAGTAGTGAGAAAATGTAGTGGTTAATTAAGAATTGAATTTAATAAAGCGTTAAGATAGACTAAACTACATCTATTACGGTTTTGTATTAATTTTTTTTAAAGAATTGTGATTTTGTATGTATTTGATTATTGAAAAAATAAAATTATTTATACACGTAATAAAAATGAATATTGTTATGTTCTGAATGTGCATGTAATTTGTACCATAAGTAAAACCACCGATATAATGATTCACGTTGATGGAAATGAGGCTAGAGGAGTGGGCCATAGAGGCCCAAGCATGATATCTTTGAGCCCAATGCGGCTGCGAATCTGATCCGATTGAGAGATAGATGCAGCCCAATGACTGAATAACCAAGGGCTCAGCCCGGCCCAAACCATTATTGACGGGAGGAAAGCGGGGAGCACAATATTTGGGATCGTGGGGATTTGGAGGAGATCGCTAACGGATTCCTTGATAATTTTTTTAATGTATTTTCATTGATTATTTAATAAAATAAAATATTATCGTCACCTCTCGTTTTGTAGGATTCTTGATGTAGTTTTTTTATATGTAATTTTTATTTTTTATTGATATACTAACTTTTAAATAAATGATTTTAAATGATGAAAGGTTTTACCTCGGTCGTAACTCTCAATTTGTAATCAAATTACGAGTTTCAACCCTTGCACAAGCCATCAACCCTAGCAGCCGCACCTCAAGTTTCGAGTATACGCCTCTAGACATAGCGGGTTGACCCGCTTATCTGGCTCGTGGGTTGCCCTAGAACTTGGCTAAGGACACACATTTTGGGTTTTAAGAGTATTAATAACTCCTCTGACCCAATATACTCATTAGCAACTACAACTAATTAAATAGTTGATTCAAATGATTGGAAGTTATAAGTTAGGAGAATTTACTTTAACACTAAAACACAATGACTTTCTCTAAATAACATCATATGTGTTTATTCCCAATGTAGCACATTTAGTCATTATCCATTATTCATTATTTAAGTAAAATGTTCGTCATCACTGGACATTATTCCTTCTTCGGGACATTATTAAGTGTTATGTAGAGAATAAGATCGTTTAAGTGTTATTTAGAAAAATGACTTGAGTTTTAATGTTATTAAGTGCAAATATTTCTATAAGTTAACGCCCAAAAGAATAGAGCCATATAGTCTTTTTTATATTTGGAAAATCATTAATGACACATTATATATTCCCCTTTACATTAACACATCCATATGCGTTGTAGCTTAAGATCATCTCATTGCAATGTACGGTTCCATGCATTTGCATTTGTTCCTAACCCATTGCGTGTGTGTGTGTCTAATTAATTCTAAAAGTTGCCATTTTTATCACATACATGGTATGCATTATTACTCCTCCATTCTATATATGTACTCCTTCCTCCCATGATAATTATCTTCATTTAATTTTAGTGTTTATGATATTTTATCAACACTTTTCTTTAATTTATTTATTAAAATATTGATATAAAATTTAAAATGAAACCAAGTATATATTTAAACACTTAAAAAAAGAATTCTACGGAATAAGATGTGACGTAATTATATTATCATATTAATAAATGAATAACACAAAAAATGTGATGAAATTAATAATTTGATTTTAAATAGTGATCGAGAGTGAAGATAAATAATTTGATTCTATTAAAATACTCCGTCTAAAAAAGATTGGGACGGTTTGACTAAAGTGGTAAAATAAGGATTGATAATTTTGTGTTGACTTTTCAAAAATACTCTTGATGTGATGGGTAAAAGTAGAATGTGATGGGTAGATTATTAGAAAAAATGTATGATGTGATAGGTAGGATATGAAAAAGTAAGGGATAAAAGCAATTTTCTAATAAAAATAAGATGGACTTTAAGGGACGCAATTTTTTCGAAACGGAACTGACTTTTTGGGACGGAAGGAGTGTATTGTAAAAAGTACTTCATGTCGAGTGTTACACCATTAAGTTTACATTTGACTCTTTTTTATCAAATTTTTAAATATTTGATGTGACTATAATATAGATATATATTACGGAGTATATATTATCTCCGTCCCTATGTATTCGTCCAATTTGACAATTTTTTAGCCAAACTGAAAGAACATTGGACCTCAATGTGTCCAATTTGATTCAAAATAATCTAATTAGATAAACACACTCGGATGGAGGGGTGAGTAATTATAATTTAAACTTGGCATCATTAGATTTATTTGAAGTGACATATTTAAATATTTTCATTTATAGTTAACATTCAGTTATTCACAAATATACTCTGTGTATGTAATGTGTACATATTCACTCTCTTACATTCTACACTCAATTAATAAGAATCTTATTTTGGAGTACAATTAATTACATATATTGTTGGTCAAAATTTGACATTCAGAAACAAAACGGGTAGCTAAGAAAGAAAGAAATGAATGGAAAATATGTAATGCATAATATCATTCATACTTAATGTGACATTATATATATATATACTTGAAAAGCTCACAAGTGATTAATTAGAAAGGATTTAGGGAAGAAGAAGAAGAAGAAGAAAAGATGAGTAGTAGTAGTAGTAGCAAGGGAGGAGTGTGCATCAAGAACATCGCCTTCGTCGTCGTCCTTTGTATGATCTCATCACTTGCGTACTTCGGATCCCTAACCGCACCGTATTACTATTACTATTACTATTACTGGATCAAAGAGGGGGGGGGAAGTGAGAAGGTTGGAAACGGCGGTGATCACCTGGAGGCGGCGGCGAAGGGGTGTGAGGTGGTGGGACAGCCTCCACCGGCGGCGGCGGAGGATTGCAATTGGTTCAAAGGGAAGTGGGTGTGGGACGAGCGGTATCCGATGTATGACTCCTTGTCGTGTCCCTTCATACGAAACACGTTTCACTGTCTCAAGTTTGGGCGCCCCAACCGACAATATCTCAAATACCGTTGGCAACCTTATAATTGTGATTTGCCCAGGTAAAATATACGAATTTAATTTTTTAATATGGTTCAACTCAAGTGTCTTACGAATTCAAATATACTAAATCATATTTTTAAAAAATAATGTGAATTTTATGTGTGTAGATTTGATGGGAAGGAATTCTTGAGGAGAATGAAGGGGAAGAAAGTTATGTACGTGGGAGATTCTTTAAGCCTAAACAATTTTGAATCTCTTCTTTGCTTGCTACATAACGCAACTCCAGCTATGAAATACAAACAAAAAGACACTCCTCACAATATTACTGTCACCTTTCAGGTCACCTGATCTTTTCATTAATTTTTTAAATATATGAATTGGAATATAGATTTTCTATTAAAATTTTGAACTAATATTTCAATAAATCGATCGAATTTGAAAATAAATTCAGTCAAATTTCGTTATCGGCAATGTGGTGTGAATTAGTTTTATTGCTGTAGGAGTATGATGTTCAAGTGATCCTATTTCACTCAAACTTCCTAGTGGACATTGAGGAGGAACAAATAGGGAGAGTGGTGAAGATGAATTCTATGAAGAATGGAGAAATTTGGAAGCAAATGGATGTTTTGATATTCAATAGTTGGCTATGGTGGACTAGGACCGGACTGAAACAACCGTAAAAATAATCGAATTTTCGATCTGTTTTTTTCCGGAATGGATGTCACGTTTATTAACCCGACCACCATTATCGGACACATTACTTGATTTACTTTATTTTTGTTACAGATGGGATTACATTGAAAAACTCGACGGTCAGATAGTGAAAGATATGAATCGGCTTGGGGCATTTGAAATGGTTCTTCAATCATGGGCGCGGTGGGTCGATCGAGAGACAGATCCAAACAAAACCAAAGTCTTCTACCAAGGAGAATCTTCCTCCCCCTATCACTATCGGTACGCATCGATTATCTTGACAAATCAACTTAAAATCGATACGATACGTTCTTTTAGTCCTAATCGGATCATATGTATGTCTATTTGCGTACAGCGGCAATTACTGGGGAAAGTCAGCAGACATAAATTGTCAAAGTGAGTTTACACCTTTAAATGAAACGACAATTTTCACAACGCCTTCGGAGTGCACCAACATTACAAAGAGGATTATGGGCGAAATGTCAAAGCCCGCTTATTTGCTTGACATAGAGACGCTATCGAGGTTCAGGGTGGATGGACACGTATCGGGTTATAACGGATACAACGGCACGGATTGCGCGCATTGGTGCCTTGCGGGTGTCCCGGACGCTTGGAACACCATTCTCTCTGCAGCTCTTCTTCAAAAAAACATAGGTTTTGGCACTCAAAAATAGTAATGGTTCTTGTTCTGGTCTCATTATTTTCATTTCTTTTCCCACTATCATTAATACTTCATTTACACTGTATTTACTAAGTTCTACCTTTGTTTCAAAATGAATGTCATTGTACATCGTTTGGGGATAAAACTGTCTTTTTCTTCCTATTTTTTGTTACTCAACTGCCTTAGGAGTTATGGTACAGTAGGAACTCCTCATACAAATATATACTTGAAAGTGTGGGGGTGTTTCACAAAAGTGATGATCCCTCCACCAAAGAAAAATGAACCTAGCTTGTTGAAACGCCACAGACAAATAAATGAAAAATCGAGATCCAGCCTATTGTCAATTTCAATGCAGATACTACAAACATAGAAATTACCTTTGGGATGATTTTCAAACATGTATGCTAGAACTTGAACAAAAAACTTTGACATATACTTTATAGTACGAACCCGATGCTCTACCATTTTTATAAGAATATGTACCACGAACCTACAATGAAGCAGTGACTTTAATTTAATCATCTGAAGAACCACAAGAAAAGGAGGCGACTCAAAGTGAAGTAGATTCTTTTCATATAGAATCACACTTGAGAGTTACTCAACATACCTCTAAGTTGCTAATTGTTACGTTCAAAATGGGTATTTTGAAAGAAGATGGAACGTGATGGTTTCATAGACAAGTACAAAGCTAGGCTTGTAATCAAGAGAATGTTTTGTTTACTTCAATTCATACAATAATGCTATAAAATTTAAAAGTTCATCAAATAAATTTAAAACTAACTTTTCTTAATATAGATCTAGATGAAGAGATCTACATAAAAGAGCCTTACGATTCCATAGTTCCATGAAAACAAATAAAAGTCAATAAGTTAGTCAAATTATTGTATGGTTTGAAACAAGCGCTAGTGGCATGGAAAGTTTAATTTGGCCACATGTGTTACATATGACCTTTGGGATAGAAAAAACAATGAAGATGAAGTATGTGTCTATATAAAAGACATGCTTAATTGCGAGATATGTTATTCGATGTCAAGACGACACATTTATAGTACGTAGTAATGAAAAAATGATCGAATCTACTAAAATTTTGTAAAAATCTCTTTTTGACATGAATGAAGCATATGAGTTAAGCTAATTCCATCATTGATATAAAAATTCTTGAGAAAATGTGACGTTCTTGCTCTAAGCCAATTAGCTTGTCAAATGGAACAAGGATAGACGACGACGCCAAAATAGTCAAGGTGTCGTTGCATATCGACACTCGCTCGCTTACCTGCCCAAAAACCAGTTAAGTTGAGAATGACTCTCAAGTAAAGTGAGAGTTAACAAAGGTTGATGCATCTCATGAACTGCATCAGACCAAGATAGAGGGCTCAAGGGATAGAGACGACTCAGAACCTCTCAACACAAAAGCTTTATGAATGTATAAGAATTTTATATATCAAAATTTTATTTTAAAATTTTGAGAATGGTTGTTTCACACTCAAGGGTATCCATGTCAAATCATAACACTCGCACGAACTAATATGATATCTTTAGTCACTTTCAACACAAGTTGTAGAAAATATATTTAGTAATAATATAATACAAGTTTGGTATAATTGAGTTCATTTTAAAATAAAATTTACATATATAAAATTCTTATACATTAATTTATTTAAAACTATATACTTCATATATACTACCTCCGCACCTGAGTATTTGTCCAGATTTGACTTTTTTCAGCGAATCATTTCCAACATTTGGCTTCTAATTAAATGAAATACTCCGGGTATATATTATATACTTCCTCTGTTCCAATTTATAGTGTTTGTTCACTATTCTTAGGGTCAAACTTCATTCACTTTTTTCTCTATTTTCGTTGGCAATTTAATAAAATAAAGTACTACTACCTCCGTCCCTGAGTATTTGTCCAGTTTTATCTTTTTTCGGTCAACTGTTTTCAACTTTTGACCTATAATTAAATAAAATATATATTGTATTTTAATTAAATAAAATAGTCTTTTGAAAATATTTAATATAATAAATCTAATAAAACTTTTTTTGCATCAATATCTAATATCATTTTTATTTAATTTGAAGTCAAAGTTTACCAACTTTGACCGAAAAAAATCAAAAGTAGAGAAATACTCAGGGACTGAGAGAGTATTATCACTACTAGTTTTGTAGATCTTTTGATGTAGTATTTTAACATGTAATTTTTATTTTTTAACTCTATACCATTTGTCATATAAAATGATTTCAAAATAATTTTAGTCAAAACATCGTAAACCAAAACAGACACTATAAATTGGGACAGAAGAAGTACTAATTAGATGATATAATATTTTAAAAATATTGATATAATAAATCTAAGAAAATCATTTTTGTATCAATATCTAATATCATTTTTATTTAATTTTAAAGTCAAAGTTTACTATTTTTGATCGAAAAAAGTTAAAAATGGACAAATATTCAGGAATGGAAGAGTATTTAATTATTATTGGTGGTCACAGAAATCACAAAATCAAATTAGGATACTAATTTTGGGACAGAGGATGTATACTTCCCCAATGAAGAGTGTGAATTGACTTCAAGAAATTTAATAAAGTTGTTACGGAGTAAAATATATGGATAAATTTTGTTAAGAGAAATATTGCTAGCCACTTGTTCATTTCTTCCTTATGAAAAGAATAGGAAATTTAATTTTGGATGGACAAAAAAGAAAATGAATTTTATTTAGGGATAGAGAGAGTATATAACTAGTGCTATTAATCGATCTAAGATCAGACCAGACCGGACCAAAAACCGGACCTAAAAGTACTCGGGGTTTGGACCGGACCGAAGAACGGACCTAAAAGTTGACTTACCGAGTTTAAATGGACCAAACCGAGTCAGACCTATTAGGCCAATTCCACATAGCAATATGCTGTATGTTCAACAATTATATCAAAATGTAAACTATTCTAAAACCAAATCGCATATTCGCATCAATACATTATACGGCATCACACGATTCACAAAAAGATCCCCTCTATGTTCTGTGATCCTTGAAAGAAGATAGCACCGAAGGCGGTGAACGGAGAACTGGATACCTCATGGTAGTCGCACAGAGAAGCCAAGGCATTTGTATGTAGGCTATCGGCAACTGCAGGCCGACTTTAGAGCATGAATTGCAGTCGAACGAAGACTGAATTGCAGAGACGTGTGGTGTGCGACTACAATCTTACTTCGTAGGAAGTGTTGTGGTTGATTGTGGGAGAGTGGATTGCCAGGGTGGGGGAGAAATTAGGGTGATGGTGAATGGCAGATTTGGGATGCCGGAATGAGAAAGAAATTGGATTATAGATTTGGGTGATTGGATCTGCTAAGAACTGAAGGGGACTTGCGGAAAGAAGTTACGGAGTACTAATGTTTCGGTCTAGACCGAAATCATTTCAGGTTTGGAGCATACCAGACAGAAACTCGAGAAGTCAAATAACCTTGACCAAAGACCGAACTTAAATCTAGTCGATCCGGGTCAATTTTTTTGATCTGGACCTAAACATGAACAGTCCTATATATAGCATCTCTTTGGAAGCATCTTTAATTAGACTAATTACCAACATAAAAGTAAATAAACACAAGTTGCACTAAAAAAAGCACTCCTTGGTCCATTTTTCTTCCCACTTTGAGTTGACTTACCAAGTTTTTCCTCCGTTTTATTTTTTAAGTACACCTTGATATGAAATTCTTCCCTATAACCCTGATGTGGATTCAAACAAAAAAAACTGATCGTGATTTCAAGGTTATACTCTAGATTTACAAATCAAATTCATACTACACGCGTCCAAAATCTCTTCAGAATTCTACTTTGGGTTTTCTCAAACTAAACCTGAGATTTCATTCTTAAGAAATGAATGATTATAATCCAATTTTTTCCCAAGCACCCGACTGTAGCGGAAGATAGCAAACAGAAGTGGATGATAAAACGGAGGAGAGATAAAGATGTCTGTGTCTAAATCATTCAGATCCGACAGGGATTCAAATTCACTGCTGCTACTGTTGCAGCAACAAACGCAGGTAGCAGATGAGAAATAGGAAGGCATAGGAGGAAGATGATGACGGAGAAGAGAGGTGACGATGTTGTTGGAAGAAGAGGAGGGTAGAGATGTCTAATGTCTAAGATTTGGGTTGATCGAGAAACCGGTAATGTCTAATGGGTTGAAGGACCTAATTGTAAGGGTAGGAAGGACATTTTACACAAAAACTTGCCTAAAAAAGGGGTGGGGGATGCGGACAGCCCTAAAAGAAAAGTGAAATAAAATAAAATTATGGACAGTGGGAGTAATTTTTAAAAGGAGTAATTTTTAAAAGAACAGAGTGACTACTCGAAAAACACAGCGAAAAATAAAAGCTACTCATGGATAGCATATGCTAAAACCAAACTCTAATGCTAAAGCTAAACAACTCATTATCGCAGAATGATATAATGACTCAAAAAACAACATAGACAAACCTAAGCAAAAAACGGCACATGGTTCACAAAAACAAAATGACACATCAAAGATCTAAAAGATGCGCTGTGGCTAAGGAAGCTGATAGTTCCTACAAGATCCATCGAAGGCAAGAAACAAACAAGAGCAAATAGTGTGTTGTATGTAGTACAACACGACAATAAGAAACATAGGATTTGGTATCTTAGTTGAACAGCTAATGTTTGGGTGGTTGCCAAGGGAAATCGAGATAAACTTAAACATAACCACACTTGTAGTTAACAACATCTCAATTTAACTGTGCATAGACTCACCGATTTTTTCCTCACATTGCTACTTACCCCCACAAAGAGATTAGAAAGACATCAAACTATCTGCACAGCTGTAAACCCCATGTTTGGTCCAACAAAAGAGATGGGAGAGTAGAAAAGAGGGAAGGGAAGTAGAGGAAAAGTGTACATGGTTTTTAAAAAAAGTGTTGGTACAAGAAAGGTGCAGTGAGTACTTGGTATTACGGGAAAATATGTAAAGATAGATTCTTTGATAATATATTTTTGGTGGTAATAAATTTTTTTTAAAATATATCTTTACGTATAGATAAGCCAGAACAGTTTTACTTAAAGAAGTGATAAATGAATGAAACAAAACACTACCCCCTAAATTGCCCAACTAGACACGGAACGACATGACACTTCTTCCCTTTTCTCCTCTCCAATATTCTTCAAATACAAAGCCTAACTGTGTGTCAATGTGAACCCTATTCAAGCAACACCAACAACATCAAACATTAAAAATGAGCGAATGTTATAGGCTAAGATTGAGAAGCGTTGAAAGCACAATCTTAAATCCAATTAAAATTATCAGAGGATATATATATCACCTGTATTATGTACGTATGTATGATGGAAGGCTGCATAGATTTGCTCAACCAGGTCACCTAGGTGAAAATATTCTCATCTACCAATTGACCACAAGAACAACTTAGTAATAGGATAATAAACATCAATGGCCTTCATGATAATAGTAATTCTTAAACAGCTAAATGAATTTAAATCAATCAGTCCACACTAAGGCGTTGATAAGCTCATATACATATACATGCATGCATACATATATAAGCTCATACAAATACATACAAAAAATGAATAAAAACATGCGTGTGTGTGTGAACACTGAGGTCAGAACACATCCACGACAAAGCAGAGACTATATTTATTTACCAGCAAATTTAGAACGTAGGTCAGCAAAAAGTTGCACTCAAGACACAAGTAGCTCATGGATTCTTCATTTTAGCCTTTTAGGCAATCCAGCTGTCATGATTAAAAAGATAAGAGTGGATTAAGCATCCATACACATTTCAACCAGGCAATAGTCTTTAGAAAAATAAATATTATATAATAATAATGGTAATAAAATGACAATCCAATATCCAGAAACAGCATATGAGTCAGTGGCCAATTCCCCGTTTTGCCCTGAGAGACTCAAGAGCCTTCTCTCTCAACTCAATTTCGAGTTTTTTTGCTGTATCAGTATCTTCTGAAGAATGACCACCATTTGTAGTGTTATCAACTTCTCCGGAGATGACATCATCATAAGATTTCAACTTTTGTTTCATGGTGCGTCTTTCTTCCCTTCGACGGTGTCTCTCTTCCCGCCGCTGCTTACGCTTCTCCTCCTTTTTCAGTCTCTTCTCTTCTCTCTTCCTTCTCTTAGCCTCCTTCCTCTCATCCACATCTGAGTCGTAACTAGAACCATCTGAAGATGAAGAAGAGTTGTGTCTGGCAGATCTCTTCTTGTGCTTCCTCTTTTCCTTAACTCTGCATCTCTGCTTCCCACTTTCCTCGCAGCCTGAACCCCCAATGTTTTCAGTTTCCTCTTCTTCCTTAGATGGCTCATTCAGAGTATTTGACGCTTTAGGTGGATTAACATTGTTCTCATAATTGGTTTTGGGACCCTCCAACCCATATGATTCAATATCATTCTTGTTATCTAAATGAGACTTCGTATGTGTCACAGGTGACCTTTGACTGTTATCAAAATCTTTGATGTCGTTTGCCCCTCCAGATGCCTTCTCACTGGGAGCAAAAAAATAAAAAAAAATAAACACATTAAAGAGCAATGTTTGAAAAATGACTTAATGACACAATGCTGAATAGAGGAAAAGGCCCTTTTGAGCCTCTAATTATGTGGCATTAGTTCAATTCTCTATAACTTGAAGTTGTAAAATATCCAACTTCACAATAATGTGGCAGTCTGGCACGTTTGGTCCTTATGCAGGCACCTGATGGCATCCAAAGACACTGGTACTGAGGTGATTTTTTTCGGGAGGGGGTATTACTTGGCCGCAAAAATGCCACAATATTGCAAATAGTCAAGTCACGTCTTTTTTTATAGATATTTTGATATAGTTTTAAAAATAATAATTTTTATTTTCAAATTCTGCACCAATATTTAATTTTTTCAAACACTATTAATTCTATTACAAGGTAGTATGTTTCCATACATTTACAACCTATTGAAGCCCGTAGTGTTATTGCCCCCACCGGGGATCAAACCCATGGCATTTCATATGATAGAGTCTACACCAATATTTAATTAAATTTAATTGAAAATAACTTCAACCAAACATTGTAAATTGAAACGGGACTAGTATCATGGGATGGAGGGAGACAGGTGTATCATAGACTTCTGTGAATCTGTATTGATGAGCCCAATGAAAGAAAAGAAATTATAAGATACTTATGCAACAAACATTTTCAATGCTTCATTTCTCTTCCATGACCCAGACCGATTAGAGGAGCGTCTAGCGTCATCTGGCCTTAACTTCTTCTCACCATGTTGCCTAAAATCCAGAATTAACACATCTCAGCAAGGCTACTTTTAGAAAGGTCACAGCAGAAAATCTAGAAAATGATAGAAAAGCTAAAGCTACCTAGAAGAATTGGCATCTCTCACGTCTGGGCTTCTCTGACAGGTATCGTCCTGTAATTTATGCTCTCTCATCTTTTGTGAAGGACTTGGGCTTCTGGTTTGAATTATCTTTTCATTCCTTTCATTCAAGTTTCTCCTTTTGGGACTCCTTGACCTGTAGAGTAAAAGAAGCAAGAGGTTTCCCTTCACAACAAATACTAAAATGAAGGTGTGAAACATCAAACCTTTTAGGCTTATAGCACACGAATTCCATAAGTTGTTCATTTACAGGGCACTGTAATCCACCCATTTGATAACAAAGGTGATATTATAAATATTCCTTGCATTTGCAAATTATTAAACACCAAAAACATCAATCACATCCCTGATTCATGTGTTCTGTGACACTGACTTTACCAACAATTGTAGCTTGTTCATCATCCCTCAAAGAAGAACCAGTGGGAGAATATTTCTCTCGACTTCTACAAAAGTGTATATGAGGATTATAACTAACTTAAGAAGTACAATCCACAGGAAAAGGCAATTGTGTAGATCATTGGCAGTGTAAAATCATTTACAGAACTCTTTTAAGCTAGTAGTGCGGTTTCCATTCAAATCCTAAACAGTCCACACTAAGACAAGAAACTCCAAAGTCCAAATATTAACATTCTAAAAATCAACATAAACGAATATCTTATATTCCCTCTTTTCCCAAGTGGTCTTCCCACTTTCCTTACTGACCGTCCCAAAAAATTATTTTTTTCCATTTAACGAAATAATTGTGCTGTTTATATTGATTTTTTATTTTGAAACAGATTTCAACTTGTTCTATCTCAAAAACAAATTCCAGTTTTGGTTTACGATCGTTGATTGAGGTTATTGTCAATTCTTTTTATTTGAAAATTGGTTTAGAAATTAGAAATAAAATAAAAAAAATTATATTTAAAGATTATATCAAAAGTTATACAAAACAAGATATGACATGACCGTTATTTTATCAAGTGACCAATGAAAATACGTAGGGTAAAAGGATTTAAATTAACCCAATAATAGTAATTGGAAATTCACTTGGGGAAGGAGGGAGTACATAAATTCACTGCCTGCAGAACAGTGTAAAATCAAATGGGAAGATAAAACTGAGGCGGGGTAGAGAAATAAATCTTACGCATTAAATAACATGCATACCTCATCCTTTCAGGAGGGGAATCAACAGGTGACATCCTTTCACGTTTCGGTGATCTCCGCTTAACTGGTGAAAGGCTTCTCTGGTGAGCAGGTGAATCAGAAACCAAATCACTAAGAGATGGGGATCTCCTTTGTATAGGTGACCTAGATCTTCTCACTGGTGACCTAGATACCATGCGACCAGATACAGGGCGACGAACAGCAGGAGAACCACGCCGAGGGCTCGATGGAGAATGTCGAGACTGTCTTTTATAAGGAGATGGTGATCTATGGCGTGTGCGGTATGGTGCTCTTCGACGAATAGGTGAAGGAGATCTGCGTCTTACAGGTGATCTTGACCTACGCCACATTGGTGATCTTGACCTGCGCCACATTGGTGATCTTGACCTACGCCGCATAGGCGATCTCGATCTACGCCGCATTGGCGATCTTGAACCACGTCGTACTGGAGACCTTGACCTGCGGCACAAAGGAGAACGCCTACGGTGTCGTATGGGAGAAGGTGACCTACGCCTTGAACGGGACACTGATCTGCGCCTTCGTCTTGGTGGAGAGAAAGATCGTTGGGGTGAGTGCTTACGGCGAGGCGTAGTTGACCGTTTGATTGGGGACACGTGTTCCCTTTCAGAAGACATTGAGCGCCCTCTATGTTCAGGACTTGGCCTACTCTTTTCACTGAAGTAGCAAGTGTCAGATATCGAAGACATTAGACCATGTAATTTTACGAAAAAAACAAAATTCAAAGGAAAGTGAATGTAGTTACTGAACCAACAATATGTTGAAGAAAATGAAAAAACAAAGTACGAAAAACAAACCAATTATAACGACAAATATATGCGACAGGTTGAAAGCATACCCTGAGTAACTTCTAGAGTTGGAAAATGACCGGCTGATTGACCTTGAGCGTCTATCCCTGCACCCAGAAATAAATTAATTTTTACTAGCAGATACATAAGCATGACTATGGAGTATAAGGCTAAGAGTCATATGAATAGTCACTACCTTGGAGGTTGTGAGTGAGAGTGTGAGTGTGGAGACCTTGAAGCCCTGAAACAAACATGAAGGTAAGGCATGTTGTACAGAGGCAGCATAAATAAACATATCACTAGGCAATTTTACAAGCAAATCTTTGAGTTGCTGAAAAATAAAATAGTCAACAGACTCAACACATCTATATGTGTAAAAACTTTTAGACGACCTGATCAGACCAATAATTACATAATGATAAGCATTCCCTTTTCTGACCTTAATCTTCCTCTTGGACCATTTTTATCAATATAATGCTCCATTTCCGGTGAAGGTGTGGGAGAACGCTTCGCGTGATGCTCTGAAGATGGTCCCAATCCAGCATACTTATCTCTTGAAATGGAAACATCACTTGCCTACAGTAGTTTGAGGTAAAGGACATGAACCCAAATAATTGCAGAAGCAAGCTGAATAGCTGATTAACATGAAACACAGAAGAAGTTAAAAACAAAAACCCAACACTAAGCAAAGGAACTCTGTCATGGATACTGGAGACTCACCGCCTTCCTTTTCTCTTGCTCAAGTTCTTGGTATTCCCTATCCTTTCTCCTCTGTATTTCATTTGTAATGTGATCAGCCTCCACCTACAACCACCACACAAGAGCACTTGGGATGAGAAAGCATTGGACAGCAAGATAAGAAGCAGAATCAAGTATGAAATGGAAGAAACATCAAGTATTAAATGGAAGAAAGACCTTTTTCTTCCTCGTTTCCTCTTCCTTTGCATCCAAGAACTGCTGTGGAACACCACTTGCACTACCCTGTGCACTAAGGAGTAGTGACCAAAGCTCTTTCATGAACTTCCCAGTATTCCTCTCCATGAACCCAGTCAGTTGGATTTGGATCTCTTTACCATTTACATCCTGCACTCAATCGCGCTAAACCAATGAGCATCCCAAATCAAGTTAGAGTAATGAATACAACAAAATAAGTTTGAACTACATGTGACTACCTTTCCTTCTAGAAGACCATAGATGAAGTTGATAAGCACTTCGTCTTCAATCCCTACAAGTTCAGTAGCTCGTTTTGCAATCCAAGGTCTCATCACATCCATCTTCACCTTAGTCATGTCCACCTATCCACATCAATATAGCATCAAGAATTGAAATTGAAATTGAAATGTTAGCTAAAATAAAGAAAAGCATGATAAAATTAAGTCGAGTTTGCCATCCAATTCCCTAATGCCAACCTAAAAGCATAATTAAAACACCTAATCACCCTCTATCTGACCATAAAAGGTTGCCATCCATTAATTATTATATAAAAAAACTAGATATCCAAACCAGATGCTCCAATTCTGGGGCAAACTTCTGCGATTTCAGCAGCTTAGCTTGCTTGTTGGAGAACCTAGTGTCTTGATCCGCAGAAGTACCCTAGAAGAAAGAAGCAAAACACACACACAAGAGAAAAAAATCAATATTTCCGATGCCTTGGGCAAACAACCGAAATTCAAGCCGGCGCAGAATGAACACAACGAAGTGAAACGACCCGTACCCGGAAAAACCCCCCTGACATTTTCTAGGGTTTGTGAACAGAAGTGCGTAATCCGATTGGTTGCGCGCGCGAACGAAGATGGTCGAGTTCCTGCTCGAATTGGATGTGAGATCTTCAAGAGATGCCTCGGGAGCACGAAGGAGTGGCTACTGATCTTCAAGTTCGAAAGTAGAGAACATGCAATTTGCAGGTTTTGCAGCGGATACGATTTCCGGTTCGGGTTGTCGGTCTCTGTATGAACCAATATTTATGGGCTAAAGATCGAAGAAGGCGAGTTTTGGACTCCCGTCGTGAAATAATGCCCCATTTCGCTTTAAGCCTCGTTATTAGATTCAAGGCCCGTTTGGTAATGGCACCAAATATGAGTTTTTAGGCTGTTTGACAACTTTTGAATCGGTAAGTGCTGAACCAGTAAGAGATCTGAATCATTAAGTGCTGAACCAGTAAGAGGTCTGAACCATTAAGAGCTAATATATTGCTTAACTATTCAGAGGCAAATGTCTGATCAATTCAGATAAGAGGTATTAACCATTCAGACTCTATATAATACTTAATCATTCAGAGGCAAGTCTCTTAACCATTCAGACATCTGAACCATTAAGAGGCTGAAACAAACAGTCTGAACCATTAAGTGCTGAACCATTCAGACATCTGAACCATTAAGAGGCTGAAACAAACAGCCCCTAAGAGAGTTGATATCTACGCTCCATATTTTTTATTTTTTCAAATATTGAAAATATTACCGCTTTTTATAAAAAGTATCTCATCCTATTTGATGTGATCATGTAAAAGCCTTAACTCTAAATTAAAAAAATCCGCCCGACAACAAAGGATGTGCACAATTTCGATCCTGAACTAGTGTAAAAATTAACAATTTCGGAATCAGGAACCAGAGTAGATAGCTTGCCAGAACCATTTGTGTAAAAACCGTGCAAGTCATTACTTTATATGTTGTTTTAATACCACTTCTCTCAATACAATTTATTTACCAAATGGAGTTGGCTACTTCGTCTTGTTTTTTATTTTATTTTTTTGATAAATTTCTTTCCCTCCGTCTTGTTTTTTATATTTTTTGATATATGTATTGCTTTGTTGTACACTTGTACGCGAGCAATATACATATATGCCACCTTCCTTATTTTATTTTTTTGGTCCTACAATTGTTCCAATTTTTTTGTACGTCGCCCATATATGCCACCTTCCTTTTTTATTCTAATTTTTTTTGCTCTAGACCTTTATAAAAAAAATTAATTATAAATTTTTTTTAATTTTTTGTTTCTCAATGAAATCAATTAATTTTTGTTATTTATAAATAAAATATTAAAAAATAATTTAATTACAAAATAAAGAAAATTTACATAGAAAAAATATAGATGCAAAAAAATATACTACAATAAAACTACTATTTATTGACTTCAAGTGAACAGATGGTTGGTTGGGTTTTGTTTTGCCGGTCAGGTTTTTTTGTTTTTGGATATGTGGATGGTTGGATATGCCGGGCAGAGAAGGGGATAAGGGTTTCAAACTATACGGAGTTGGCTACTCCGTCTTGGTTTCATTACAAAATACACAAAAGTACGCCACTCTATTTCTTGGTTTAATTTCAAATGAGACGGTGTTGCGTACTCCGTCTGGTACTGCAAAGAAATTTTTTCCTGACTTACGCTGTCAGAAACTAATTTTTTTTATTTACATATATCGGGAATTAACTCTATCATTGTTAAAGTATTGATTTACAATTGTTCTCTTACCTTTTCCGAGTATATTTCTTGATTTTAGATTAAAAGTCTGTTTACCAAAGATATTTTGAGCCAAGACTTTTTGCAATTTTACAAATGATCCATGATTTACCCCCATGATGGATCACATGTCGTATTCCAGCCCATTCATCACTTAACCCATGTTTAATTCTCATCATCATTTGGACATTTTGAGACACTTGAAGCACTCTATTACCTCTACATATTGCTTGATCCATTATTGATTATTCCTCTACTCGAGCAAGATAGAGAGTATATTTTTAGTGGAAACATGTTATTTTTGGATAATGTTCTTATCATTTATAAAACTTAAGTATTTAATCAATCTAACTTTTGTGTGAGTTATTGTTGTAGGTTGAAGAAGATTACTCTTTTTGTTATATAATGCTTGTGTTACTTAAGTCTTGGGGTGTGAAGTCATGAAGTTCTCTATTTCGAGCGATTGTATTGAAACTTATGTGACTTAAGTTCTCCAGGTGTAAAAAGTTTGTCAAACACCCGGGTAAGCTGGTTAGGTAGTGAAGATCTTGAATGGTTCTTTTGAAGACTGAAATAGCCACACGGTGGTGAATCAATATACATCGGTGTGTACTTTGTCTTCTTTTATTTAATTCCGTCGCGCACACTCATTTATTTATTGTATACACACTAGCTCTAGAATTGGTAAACATTTTCAACAACTCTATTTAGCGACAACGCCAATGGTTGGCGCTACGTTTTGTCATTTTGTCAATATGGAAGTGTCATATTTCTCTCAACCGTTGATCATTCTCGATCACCAGCTACCGTTGTCACCGTCAACCACCAGCAACAAATAACTTAACTTCAGATCTCAAAGAATGGTCTACAAACGAAGTAATTTTTTGAATTTTTTCAATCCGTTTTATTTAAAGAATGTTTTACAAATAAAAATTAAAATTTACATTTTAAAAAACTATATCAAAAGTTTTATAAAACAAATAATGACAAGAATATTTTATTTTATCAAATAATTAATGAAAATGCAAAAATAAATAAAAATTCTCGTCATTTTTAAATACTCCCTCCGTCCTAAAACTTTCTTCCCGTTGCGCAAAACGAAGAAAAATCCCAAGTTTTTTCAATCTATTTTATTTAAATATTGGTATAGAAATAAAAAATAAAACATACATATTTAAAAGAAACTACGGAGTACATAAAAAGTTCAACAAAACAAGTGGTGACAAGAATATTTTATTTTATCATATAGGCTATGAAAAAATACAAATAAATATAAATTTCCGTGGAGTTGGAATAGTGATATGGAAAGAAAGTTTTAGAGGGAGGGAGTAGTTAAGTGTTACTTACATTTTGGAAGGAAGAGAGCATGATTCATTTTAAATTTCAAAGAGATCTGTTCCCATGGCATTGGAGGAGGTGAGATTGTGTGTTAGGGTGGGAGCCGGATGGGAGTTAATTTCAAAACTTCTGCCGAGTATTACCCAAACTCACCAACCTGCCTTAATAAACGAAGGAGGTATTAACCGTCCCTCGGGCCAATAGTTTGCTGCCTTTGGATTCTGCCGGAGCTCTGGTCTGGATGGCCGTCGCCTGTTATCGGGTCCCCGGTCACGCAATCGGATCCACAATCGTCGAACTCTCCAGACCACCTCGCACCGGAGCTCCGCCTCCCGTTCGTATCTCCGCCCGGAGCCACGGCATCGACGAGCGTGAGACGCCTCAAGGCCCGTCTTGCATATTCGTCGGACCTATAGAGACAGCTAGCCAAGCAACCCTAGAAGCTCTCTACCTTCAAGTATGCTCCTTCGAACTAGCACTTCTTACAATCTCACTGTTTCCATGGTCACATTTATGTCTAGTAGTATCGATTTCTTCTACGTACGGGCCGTAGTACATTCAAATGCTTTAAATTGCAGCTCAGAAAGATGTTTGTTAAGTTGTGTATGAGTAGCCAAGCTGATTTGCAGCATTAGATATGCTGAGAGTATCCAGAAATAGAGGGATCGGTGTAAAGGAACTGACTCAACTAAAAGCTCAAGCTTCTGGTTGTACCCAAGAAAGATTATTTATATTTTAACACACCCCCTCACGTGCAAGCATATTTTTTTTTTGAGTCTTGCACGTGAAATCTTAATGTTTCTAAAATTAGATGGCACTGAGTTTCAAACCTGTGATCTCTTAGTTAACAAGGCTTCAATATCATGTTAAGGAACCGACTCAACCAAAAGCTCAAGCTTATGGTTGTGGCCCAGGAAAGGTTAGTTATATCCTAACAATAGGCTATATGAATTGCGAAAACATTTCCAGATTAAAGTTACTTTGGTGTTATTCTAAATAATTTCAATAACATAAGAAGTTGGTGTTATTCTAAATAATTTCAATAACATAAGTAAACTTATAGGAGTATTTGGAGTTTTATGTCTGCAACAAACCAATGAGCTCTCCTATTTAAAGAGCAAAACCGACCTAGCCGTGTCTGATGACATGAACCAACTCAATGTTTCAGGTAGTATTTGATTACTACACCCTCTTGCCTCTTTTGAATCTTCTAAGTTTGACTTTCAAGGTCAACTTTTTATAATTTTGACTACAAATTACAGAAAAAAATATATGGAATTGTGATATAAATTTAATATCGATTTCTTATTCAAACATTACATTTTTATAATATATATCTATCTACAAATAGAGATATTGATGGTCATAGTATTGCATTGAAGACCATGAAAAATCAAATGAGAAGATTCAAAAGGAACGGAGGGAGTAAGTTTTAGTGTTCAAATAATATAGGTGTTTCACACTCCAGTTCGATTCTCTATGTTGCTAAACATTTGATTACTGCATTGTACTCCCTCCATTTTAAAAAACACTTCCTATTTTGTTTGTACGTGCAAAACCCCATTTTAAAAAAAATTATTTACAAATTGGTATAGAAATAAAAAGTAAAACTTATATATTTAAAAACTAAATAAAAAATTCTATAAAACAAGTAGTGACAAGAATATTTTATCTTGTCAAATGACTAATGAAAAAATGCACGCAAATAAAACTTGCCGGGATGCTTTGAATAGTAAATAGGAATGGTTGGGCAAACAGAGGGAGTAGTATTTGAATACTAAGGCATCATTTCGTAAACGTCGTTTGAAGTTGAGATAGTATTCAAATATTGCCTCTGTCCCATAGAGATCTTTTTTTCCTTTTCATCCGTCCCAACAAGATCTTCACTTTCCTTTTTGAGAAAAGAATGTGTGGTTCAAAAAGTTTCTCTCTCCTCTCAGCAAATGACAACCACTCCTTTTTCACTTTTCAACATTTTTCTTAAACTTCGTGAAAGTCAAACAAAGATATATTTATGGGACGCAGGGAGTACTAATTTACTAGTCTTCGAATACTAGCCATCTTTTCGCCAAAAGTGGCTGGAAGTTACACCTTTTATTTGAATACTACTCACGTAATATATAGTATTCGGAAACTTGGTATTTCAAATCCATTTTCAAAATTTTGATCAATTTGGTGAATTTCCATAAGGCAACAACTTTGAGCTCAACCCAACAAGGGGCTCTGCCCCTTGGACTCTGCTAGGGATTGTGCCCCTCGGAAGGAATTTGTAATATCATTGAATGACCTTGAACTCCACACCTCGAAACTCGTAATCAACATTTATTCAAATTTTTTCCTGATCTTGAGTAAAACCAATTACCCAAAATAGAGACTAAAATTACCAACAAGTTATACTTCAACTAATTAAACAAAGTAGAGTCTATTCGTTTTCTCATATTTTCATGATTCATTTATTTTAGGCAAGGGATTCGTATTACGGTGGGTCACCCCTAATACCTGATGATATGTTTGATAGAGTGGAGGTAAGTTTTTAATGTTCACATAGTTTACAAATGTGCACTAAAAGTTCATCATGTTCGGATTATTTCTCTGTCCTTTGCTGAGTAGTGAGTACTTACTATGACAGTTGAAACTACGTTGGTATGGTTCACAATACGTTGTCAAGTACCCTCGCTGTAGTCTTAGGCGCCAGGCAACTTATGCGGATGCACAGGTGATATAGCTTTTAGCTGCACATATCATTTTATCTTTGGTGTTTGGGAATTATTTTTTGATTTTTCCATTGATCTTGAAGCATTTGGGGAGAGGCGAGAACATTGGATTCCAGTGAAGATAGCTTATTTTAGTTTTGACTATCTATAATTTCTAACCATTCAACTTCCAAAGTTGTCTTTTTAAGCTGAAGATTTTTCAACTTACAAAATATGACAATTGACAAGCAGTCCATATGCAATACAAGGGACGATTTGAGTCAAATTCTAAGCGTGGTAATGGGGAATGAGAATGGTTAAATAGCCAATGGGTTTGGTTGAGGAATTTGACTAATGGGGCACAAAAGTTACTGGAAAAGGTAATGATTGAGGAGCACCATCAATGAACCTTTGAAATTAGTTCCAATCATTCCCCTTTAATTTCCCATTTGCATTTCTCTTTCCCCAACCTAACTCAACCTACATTTATTATTCATTTAACTTGTATAAAGTCATTTTGTGAGAAATACTATTGGGCTAAAGCTATAGTAAGAATGTATAATTTGGCACACAGTAAAGTACTCCCTCCGTCCTGGAAATATCTTCCGGAATTGACTTGGCACGATTTTTGATAAAGTGAAATGTTGGTGGTTGTGGTTTGTGTAGAGGAAAGAGAATTGATATGTACCACATATTTGTTTCCTTAAAAAGAAAGAGGAAGAAAATTTTGGGACGACCCAAATAGGAAAGAAAGAAGATCATTATGGGACGGAGAGAGTAATTATAATACTCCATTTAAGTGAGAGATGCTAGTAAGCATGTCATATTAAGAAACAGGAAGGATGAACATTTTGGTACCTATTTTCTGGTTACGAAGTTGTATATCTACTTATTGTAATGCTATTGCCAAAATGTTGCAATTTGTGCTTTTGTCATTTATCGTAATTTGGTTATTTCATGTATTAAAAAGGAGCTAAAGAGGTATCAATGTGAGACCTTCATGATGGGTCTTGAGGTTTACACTTTCCTTGCATGTTAAGAGTGCCTCACAGAGTTATGGGTGTGTTTTGAGGCACGCCACAAGATATTTTTTTGAGAGAGATTTCTATAAGTTATTTTTCTTTTGGGTCGTGAGACTGTAAGAAATAAGGCACACTCACTAAAACTTAGTCCATCACTCCATTTATTACTTCTAAACCCATAATAGAGAAGAAGCAATCTATGAGATTATCACTATTTATTCTGCCTGCTTCCCATCATCATCATCCTCTTTCCGGAGTTATTGGTAATATTTTTCTACTCGTACATGATTTTTTTTGCTGCTAGTCACTTTTTTATAATGATTTTGTACATTTTTTAAAATTTATGCACATTACAACCATGCATATCATTAGTTGGTTCCAAAACAAACCGCCTTGATATCCGAACCAGTTTTAAGATCCTTGGTTAGTTTCCATGCCACATTATTTCAGTGAGTACTGAGTAAGACTATGGGAGAACAAGCTATTTTATCAACTTGAATATTGAGTGATGTGGATGTAGGGCAGGAGGACCCCTCGCAGGTTTTTGCACTAGCAAGCATATGGGTCCTGATTCTCAGTATTGGAGGTTCAGTATTGCTAGCGCCCGTAATATACACTATGGGTCAAGCTTGTCGAGATGCGTTCATTGCAGAAATGCCCTTCACCAGTCAAGCATCATCACTGCAGTTTCTTACAATTCTTAATGGCATACTTTACATGGTGTTAGGATCCATCATAGGGTATCCCATTGCCTCAGCATCTGGTAAATACTAAATAGTTGATCTGCTTTCAATCTCTCTTCAGTTTTCCTCAATGAGGGATTTTTTTTGTTAGTACATATTCCCTCTGTCTCATAAAAAAACTTATCATTTTGACTTTCACAGTGTTAAGAAAAAGTGTTGAAAATTGTAAAAGGTGTGGTTAGAATTGGTTAAGAGGGGAGAGAAATTTTTTAGCACAATATATTTTCCTTAAAAGGAAAGTGATTTTTTTTGGAACTAACAAAAAACAAAAGTGAGAAGTTTTTATGGGATGGAGGGAGTATTACCTAGATAAATGAGAAATGTTGAGGCTTGTTACCAGATTATATTGTCACATAGAGATTAGAATTTACCGTAGATGGTAATGTAGTTTGCATTAACTTGATTAAAATATAAAATGTAAAACATTTTGTACATAAGAATAGTTTTAAAATTTGCAATGTGCATACCACTTGCTGCCCAATGTTGTAATTGATTACAATGATGTAACTTGTAGAAATACACTAATGCTAAGCTATGAGATAAAGATATACGAATAAAATGAGTTTGATTAGATATCTGAATTTCATTTTTTAGTTTGAACTAATTTTTTATTAGTTCCCCCCAATTCTTTTCTCCCCAAATTTCACCTCTGTTTTGATTTCTATTTTCATTCCATATCATTTTCCAGCTTTCAAATTGACACTTAGGTTCTTGTGGTGTATAACTTAAAAATCTCTCACAGCTCGAGCGCTTCGAGGGCTATGGCAAAATGACTTGGTTGCACTTAGAGGGGCATGTCCAAATTGTGGTGATGAGGTGATGCATATGGCATTCGCTTTTACTCCCTCTCCCAAAAATGGGTTCATACTTTTCTTTTTTTTACGTTCCAACATCTCTTAAAAAGAATTTTGTGGTTCATATTATTTCTTTCCCCTCTTTGTAATCTCAACTGCACAATTTTCAGTTTTTCGATAACTCAGTTTCTTAATGACTATATGTGGTCTAATGTGTTACCGTTTTATGGGATGAAGTATTTATCTTTCAAATCAAGACTGTAGACACATTTTGACTTTCCAGTCACTACGGCTTCGTGAACCAATTGCAGGTGTTCGCATTTGTGAGATTTAAGTCAAATCATTCTTCTCATAGAACAGAGTGTCATGTATGTGACAGCATGCTAGAATTTCGCACCAAGGTTGAGGTACATACAACTACGTCTTTGTGTTTTGCTTTGTTTTTTTATTGTTTTTTGTTCATGTTGAGCTATAAGGCATGTAAATTTCCCCCCTCAACTGAACCACCAGGAAATGAAGAAAAGTCACGATATCCTTTTCTTGTATTTGTTTTTCCACATTCATGAGGGCACATGATCTTCACATTTATCTTGATGCGTTTTTGTTTCTTATTCAATTCTAGGCCTTCTTTTTGTGAATTGTTATTGTTAAGTTGACATCAATCACATTTAATCAGCCCAAATAATGCACTTTACCTGCTGGTTGATTTCATAAGCGTAATAGTATTTCTGAAGCTTGATTTGTTTATGCTTTTCTTAAACATGTGTCCCGGTGTATTTTGTGACGTTTTCTAAAATTTCTTGTGTTTTTGTGTTTCCTAATGCAATTTCAACATGTTACACCAGTCCATCTCAATACCTGGACAGAGATGGGTTTATGGCCGTGTTTACTTGATTCAGAAGCAAGAAAAAAGGCAAAGGTAGTGGATTCAGTCTCAACTGATACCCATGGGACCAAACATATGCTCCTAGGAATAATATGTCATCTATTGTCATCTGTTCCTAGTAAAAGACATTTGACGGGTTCTCGGGCTTTTTATACGCTACTCACACGGGCAACACCGCGGACCTCGGAAGTGTGGGCCCTTGCGGTTACTACCCGCATTGGTTGTATTGACCTTGCAAGCAGCAGCGCAGTTCAGGTATCCAAAGTGTCCTTTTGCTATGCAATTCTGAATGGTCAGCAAGTTTTATTCGAAAAATTGAATTATGGGAAAAAAAATTACCTCGTTTGCTTTTGTAAAATCTGAAAACTGTTCTCTAATGCTCTGTACTAGTGTTACATATTCCCAGCACAATGTATTATGCATAATACACTTTCATTTTAGTGAAATGGTATTTGTACTCTAGACTTGCACCATACTTGCACAGTTACACAAACGAATATAGAAAAAACAACATTTGTCTATAAGATTTGGCTGTGTTGTTTTAAAATTTTACTTGTACGGTAAATGTAGTGTACCAATATACTTAATATTGTAATTAAATACCGCCTCCGGCCCTAACTTTATATATTCAAAGACGATATCAAAAGTTGTACTCCCTCTGTCACATAAAGAATTTCATAGTTTGAGTTGCGAAATTTATGTTGAAAAGTGGAAAACGCGTGGTTGTAATTTGTTTAAATGAGAGAAATTTTGTGTCATATTCTATCACTATGGTTTCTAGTCTATGTGAGAATTAAATTGAGGGCTCTTAGATAATAAAAAAATAATAAATCACAATATGATATTTCATTTTAAAAAATAAACTTCATAATATTAAAAATAAAAAATAAATTATACAATTGCTACGAGATAATAATTGATAAAAGCACAAATTAGGCATATATTCCAATTGTTTGGAAATTGGAATACATATACAAATACATTTGTTTTCTATACGCTAGCTTTTATAAAAAAAAATACTCCTTATGATGTGCCTTTGTTAGCGTATTTGCGTACCATACACATATTTGCCATGCAATTTCGCATATGTTTTTATTAAACACGTGTGGTTTATAATACCAAAATGAACACTCTTGAATAAGTTTAGTCACGTGTTTAGGTTCTTGTGATTTACTATACGATGAATCCCTTCATTCTTTAGGAGTTAAAAATATCTTTAATTAACTTGATATGATTCATTGTACATTAGTTGACCACTTACTATCATTTCTTGTTCTAAATGTGAAATCGCTCACCCCGATCGTCCCTCACTCCCTGTCGACGAGATTGTGAGAGAATGTAAATCATGGTGGCTCAATCGGCAACAGAGACTAGGACCAGTGCTCACACAACAAACCCTCTCACAATGTGTCTTATATATAAAGAATAACATTATAAAGAAAAAAGTAATATTAGTGATTTCTGGAGTGATAATATTTATTCGTATAAGGATGAATTTATATATAACACAAATATGGAAAATATTGAATGCAATAAAGGTAGTGAGGCAAAAAAAGGTGTGATAGAAAACACAGACACTGGGATAAAAGTATTTCTTAAAATTTTAAGTAAATTTTACAATAACTACCCAACTTTTTTTTGTAAAACTTGAGCCAAAAAATCAAGAGAATGAAAATAGAGATGAAAGAAGTAATTAGTTATAAGTGTTACATATACTATGTGTTTTCATAAAAAATGTGTCACGGAGTACATACTATGTTGGGCAACGTAATGCAGTAAATGTCCCGTACAAACGACATGAATGAGGTGGAGTCGCGTCAAGTTAGAGTCGAATGACACGGAGTACATTGGTTTAAAATGATTAGATAACTACTCATACCACTCGTGATGCACTATTCTTTTCGGCACCTCATTTGAGAATAAATTTGAAAGTTAAGTTTCCTTAACTAGGAACAATTTTATGAGAACTCTCACAATGAGCATATGAATGAGGTTAAAGTATGTTGGATTTAGATAATGAAGAACACTGCGAAACAGTGTTAAACGAAGAACTCGATAGAATAACGGATCGCGTATGAAACGCTTTCAGATCAAAATTACTTCAGGGTATACAAAATACTTCAATCAGATAAGACGTTAATTCATAACAAGCACTCGAGAATCTGTCCCTCAACCCATACCACGAGACTCTATTTTATAGAGTCGAAAATCCTTGTGATCGGACATGAACGTTCGCGTAGATGTACGCGTACGTTCGCGCAAGAAGAAAAAGGTGCGAGTTTGAACGAAAGGTCTCCTGCGGTTGAAGGCTTAATTTCGACGTTTATCCATTATGTACGAGTCTTTTACCGTTTTGGACTCCGGTCACGAAAATCTTAAGGATTTTCTTAAATAAACAACGTCCGAAATAAAAAATTTCCAAGCTGTCCCGGACCCCGACCAGGGGCTCTGCCCCTTGGACCCCGCTACCCAGGGCTGCCGCCCCCGGACCCCTGCAGTGAATTTATAATATCGTTGAACGAGCGCGCACTCCGCGCCTCCTAACTCGTTTGACAACATCTATTTAAATTCTCTTCTCATCAAAGTAAATCCAATTACACAAAATAAATTGATGACACTAAAATCACAAACAAAGTATGCTAGAAAAAAGTTTATTTAATTAAGTTTTTACTCCTTCTATCCTATTTTATAACGTCTGTTTTGGTTTACGATGTTTGAATGAAATTATTTTCAAATCATTTTATATGACAAATGGTATATAGTTAAAAAAAATAAAAATTACATATTAAAATACTACATCAAAAGATCTACAAAACTAGTAGTGACAATAGTACTTTATTTTATCAAATTGTTAACGAAAATAGAGAAAGAAAGTGAATGAAGTTTGACCCTGTGAATAGTGAACATGCATTATAATTTGGGACGGAGGGAGTAATTTTTATTAAGAAAAGCTTAAAACACAATTTATATATTTTAAAATTACATTAAAAATGCTATAAAAAGTTCATAAAACAAGTTTAATAAAATAAAAATTGACCTGATTATTTTAATTATTCCATATTAAATGACTAAGAAAAATGTAATCCCAATTGCTTTTTGGGGAAGGTTCAATGTCATTTGAACCTTGGTGTTGCTTTTTTATAGTTATTGTTCATGTGTTCAAAATGTTTCATTTTTATTTATATATTTTTATTTATCATTTGATTAAACATTACTCTGTAAAATTATGGTACCTCTTATTTTGTTAAACATTTTATGTAGTTTTTAAATATATACATTTTATTTTTTAAGGTTTTCACTATATATTAAATAAGTAAAATAAAAAATGGTTTAAATCAAACATTGTAAATTAAAACGGAGGGAGCATAAGAAAATATAATACTTCGTACTCTGTAATAATAATTTGACCGGAAGATAATTTTGGGACATTGGGAACAACCTTTTCATTAACATTAATAATTTGGATAATTTGTTTAATGGTGCAAATTAGCTTTAAAAACACTAAAACTAAATGATGTCGTTGATAGCTTTTTCAAAAAGCTAAAGCAAAACATTGAAACTGTTGTCATTCAAATCTATAGTGTACTACTCCATCCGTCCTATAATGATCTTTTCAGAGCACTATTCCAACTTCACGGGAATTTATATTTATTTTTGTTTTTTCATGGCTTATATGATAAAATAAAATATTCTTGTCACCACTTGTTTTGTTGAACTTTTGACGTAGTTTTTAAATGTGTATATTTTATTTTTTATTTCTATACCAATATTTAAATAAAATAGATTGAAAAAATTTGAGATTTTTTTTCGTTTTGCGAAGCGGAAAGATCATTATAGGACGGAGGGAGTACTATTTTCATTTTTAAGTGTTTGTTATGAATTTTAATCAGTAATTAAATACAAATTATACTATTTAATTTATGGGTACAAAAATAATTTAATTAGAATAATACTTTAAAATATTTTTAAAAACTATTTAATTTTTGTAAATATATAATGTAATTTTTTTTATTATTGATAATCAAAGTGAAGAGGGATTATATGTTGAAAAAGATTCATAATTTTATGACCCAATGTTCCTCCAGGCCTGCAAAGCCCAGAGGCGACCGCCCGATACGTAAAATCCACCACGTGGCGGCATCAGAGCCAGCATGCCACTGTTGTGTGGCCCACTCTTCACCGTAGAACCGGTCTTCATGGTGGGTTTCTGTGAGCAAAAATCTCCAGCCCGCTTCCGACCATGATTTACCGATATGTCCGGTCACTGTGGGGGTCAATTCGATACAATAAGAACTGTCGTTTGGGGGTTTATGAGGTGTTTGGATGGGGTTTAACATCTCACAGATTCCGTTTGGGGAAAAATCTCACAGATTTCGTAGAAATGGGTTGAAACATTGATTTCTTGTTTGATCGAACCAGGAAAATTTCAGGGTTTTTTTTAAAAAAAGATTGTTTGTAAAAATTTGGGTTTATTAGGATTCGCACCTTCGGAATTTCCCTGCAATTATCCGATTTGGAAGGTTGGTGTGATTCATTTCTGTCATGTTTTAATGTTTGATAGCAAAGTTCTAAAAAAAGATAGAATCTTGTCTCTGCATTTGTTTTACCTTGTTGTATAACTTGTTCATGTAGAATCTAAATTTTCATTTGTTATTGTTCTTTGATCTACAATTAAAAGTTTGGGTTTTGTTTTTTCTTGTTCTTTGATGTGTTTGAATTTTCATGGTTGAAGAGTGAATCCCACATCGACTAACTTGTAATTTTGGGCTACTTCTACAATGACATTGACGAATCGTTTTGAATGTGATTCCAAGTCTTACAAACTTGTGCCGTTTTTTTGTTTTGTTTTGATCATATTGCAGAGTTTCATTTTTGCGGGCTTGACGAATGTAGTAACTATGGGTATCTTGGTATGAAGCTTTGGTAAAAGAATGCTAGTTTTCCAAGTCTTTTGAATCATTCGTGGCATGGTTGGTAAGATATGGTGTTTCGGGAGAGATTACATCGTGGATTTCATGGCTTTGAGGTGCCTCATGCCCCGCGATCTACCAGATCAGCTAGGGTAACTATAATTTGCCTTCATGGGTTATGTATTTACAATTACCTCCCCTTACCAAATACCAATGCTACATGTTAACTTTTCTTACCTTTCAGAAGAGGGGCATCGGTTGGAGGAGAGGTGAAGAGAATCAAATGTGTGCATTTGACTTGTTAGCTACCGTTGCTGGGAAAATACTTCGCGAAGACGACATTTCTCCTATTTTGAATACGCATACGCTTGAAGAAAATAATGTTGAGCAGAGTTTCTTTCTTTCCGAGCTTGTCTCACATGAACACATTCTAAATAACCATAGCGATAGTGTGTCACCTATATCTGTAATAACAACTTCTGATAGCTCAGACAAGTTTGCCCATGTGG